CATTTCTGCCAAATGACATGTTAATATTAGTTAGTGAAAGCATAACTGGTTTTTGTAATAAATAGCAGTATGTTTTCCTCAAATAAAGGGAAAAAAGGCCACATGATGGTATGTATATCTTTATATATGCATAAAATTACGTGTCACATTGTTTTTCCGCCATGAACTCCGAAATCACTCAACCGATTTTAATAAAATTTTGTAAATGTGTATTGTTTTTTTTTACGGGGGGAAATCCTCATGGACAACCTCCGCCTGGGGAAAGGCGGAGGGGCGTGCCGGACTCTTACCGCCTAAAACCACCCCGGTGTCTCCTCGCACGTGCACGCGGGGCCGCCGGAATCCAAATTTTTCCGCAGCCCAACACTAGTGCTGGCCAGGTGTGTTTGGGCCTCGTCTCCTGCACGGGGTAGTAAAGTGTTCAACTACCCCCCCTACACGGCCTCCAACTCCACCTGCGTATCGGACCCCCTAGAGTTCGATACGCGGAGGCCATGGGGCCAGGAAAATCGAGCGCTTAATAGCACCCGCTTTCCCGACCCCAGCGGCGGATCTGGTCTCTGGCTCCGCCGCCAACCAAGTTTCGGCCGCGGAGGGTAGGGAGAGCGGCGCCTCGCAATACCGACACTTCTCTCCCGCGCGGCCCCACCACCACCGCATCAACAGTGCGGCCCCGTCTGAGTCGCGGAGGATAGGGCGAGTGGCGCATCGCCATACCAACACTCCTCTTCCTCCGCGACTCCACCTAGGCTGCAGTGGTAGGGGGAGAGAAAACCCCTCTCACCGCAGCCCACCGACACACATCCGAAGTGGGCGTGCCAAGCCCACTTGGAGTGGCCACCTTGGGTCGGCCCTACACCATGGGCCACGGCTACCCCCCGCCACAACAAGGCGAAAACCCGTTCGGGGGGGGGGGGGGGGGGAATGTGTATTGCTTGCCCCAATCTGAGACAGAGGATAGTTTTTATCCTCATAAGTGACTCTCAATATATTTTTTTTAATTTAAAGATTTTTAAAGGACAAAGGGTCGTCGGACAGGGCAGAATAAAATACGCCTGTTAAAGAGTTAAAAGTTAAAGTAACAGCCAATATACTTCCCACTGCTGAGCATAGGCCTCCCCTCATGTTTTAGAGGATTTCTGGGCAAGGAAGTGTCCGCCGCGCTGCCCCAATGCGTGTTGGCGAACTTTACATGTTTTCCAAATATTTTTTCTTTTTTCTCAGACATGCATGTTTCCTCACGATGTTTTCCTTCACTGCGGGGCAAGTGGTAAATCGGTACTTAAATTTACAATTAACAATTTCATTGATGCCGGCGGGTATCGAACCCGATTTTACTTGTGCACTGTGAAATTTACAGCGAGCGCTAACCATCTGAGCTACCACGGCTTACAGGTCTGCCTGGCTAGCTAGTAATTAAATACATTAAGTTTTTGTATGTATTATAGTAATATGTGTCCAATAAAGAGTATAAATAAAATAAATAAGTTTAAAGCTCGCCATATCACTCCGTCACACAATGATATTACTCTCATTAATGCTGAACACATAATGGTAGTCACATAGTTGTATTAAGATGATGCAAATATAAATATATCATGTACGTGGTAGACGCTGCAGCTGTATTAGTGCTGCACGAATGGTTCGTCTGGACTAGTGTGGGACCACACTCTCACATAATAACAACGTGTAATGGTAGCATGGTGTTGCTGTGTTTTATGGTTTTTGAACAGAACCCTCTTTCCTGGTAACGAGGCATTCTACGACGAAAATTTCATAACGTATCTGTCTGTATTTTGTTTCTTAATCGAAGTCTATGGGTCACAGTATCTACTTACCATAAGGTGGACTGAGTCCTTGTACGTCAGCCTTATTTATAATTTTTTTCATAATCATAATCATAATCATTTATTTCGAGGATGATAGGTATTACATAGATGTTAGATACATTATTATATAATCAAGTTCAACTATGTCCTACACTGTGGACATACGAAGTACAATATTTTTGGAAATCATTTAAAGTAAATAAAAATAACAAAAAAAATGGAACGTAAACAAAACATTAGTGGATATAGAATTTGAGAACAGAGTTAAGTATGTTAGAAATCTAATTATGAGATAAATATATTTAATAATAGTTATGTTTTATTATGTACATTTTTAAATAATGACCTAGCAATATTTCAAACAAATAAATAGTGACACATTTCATTGTTTTTTATTCATTTAAATTTTGAAATTACTTAATAAATAGTATCAAATATAATGTAATAACTTTTATATTTATGTTAACATAATTATGTAAAGCAAATCATTCATACAATTGTTGAATCTGTGATTTTTTTAAATAATTTTAACTATTGGGTATCAAAAAAAAAATATCACCAAAGAAATCATTTAATGTATAATAGGCTTTGTATATTAGGACACTGACAAGCGTTTTTTTTTAAAGATTTAACACATTTTATATCTTTGATTTTTTTTTTGGGTATTTTGTTATATATTTTTGGCGCCATGCAAAACACGCTTTTGTTAAATAACGCTGTGTTAACGCTAAATCTGTGTGTCGCAGATTAACATGTGACCACTAAAATATATAATGAAGTAAGAGTTAATACTTTCAACTTTTTTAAAAGATGGTTTACATGATTCGGTTTGCTTTAGATTGCATATAGCTCGTATGCACCTCTTTTGTGCTTTAAAACATTTTCCTTATTAACGGAGTTGCCCTATAATAAAATACCATGTCTTAGTATAGAATCTACGTAACCGTTATATGCTGTAATACGTGTAGACATATTGGTAGTTTTAGAAAGTTAAATCATAAGAAAACCTATTAAGTTTCGTACACACTATATAAACGTGGGAAAACCGGAGACCCTTTTTACTGGCAAAGAGGCATTCCATCTTAGTCCTCACGAGTGACAACGCATCTGTATCTTGAGGCTTTATTGAGGATAGATGTAAATGTCTATGGGTCACAGTAACCTCTTACCATCAGATGGACTGTGTGCTCGTTTGTCACCGTATCCTTCTTGGGACTTCCATGTTAACATGTTATCAATTTTTAAACCTAAGAAATTTATGTTATTAGTTTTACCAATATTTGTATCAGAGTGATGTAATGTCTGAGCAAATCTCGATCTGAGCGAAATTCTCTAATTAAAATTAAATTCAATAAGCTTCAATTAGTTTTAATAGATATTGTTTATTGTTTACCAATAACAGATATTTGACCCCTTAGAAGATATAAATTATTCGTTTGTGACATGTCTACAACTAGCTTACATTCGTAAGAGTTCGCATTCTTCAACGATTCCGTAACTATTTGAATTATTTTAACAAGTTATTTGGTAACTGGCAATGTATAAATTAGAAACGTACTCGTACATATTGCGAGTTACTACTCGCAATATGTAAATTAGAAAATAATTAATAGAACTGCTTTACGGAAATCCATTATATGAATGAAATGCAATCATTAATAAATAAGAAAGACTATTATATTAAAAGTAGACAAACCATTAGAAAATAAAATTAATATGAAGGTAGGTAAATGTGCCTAAAAATTTCCACGCGTACAATCAATACAAGTACATACAAGTACAATCAATCTTTGAGTTTATTGCAAATGTTGGCAAAGCATTCATCAAGCTTTAGTGGACGATATTAATTTGTTGCATTCAGAACTCAACGATGATTATTTATTTATTTTATTTATTTGCATTTTAAGGGAACATACAGTACAATAATAAATTACACAATAAATCATATTGTGTAATTTATTATTGTATTGTATTATGAAATCAAATATCAATGTTTTAGTGCGTTTGAGGATAATTTAGGACTTTTAGTACATTTAAAAAGCCTTCACAAGGAGCTAATTCTAATCCCTTAAATTGGAAGGTAGCATGCGTTGAACTTTTGATTTTTATGTAAAGTTCAAGAGTTAATTTTTTTTATGAAATATTTAAAATGGTTATTCACAATTCATCCGTAACTATGTGTTGCGTATCAAACATTATACGTATAAGCATATAAGTTCATTAATAATTGCCGATGTTATGTATGTTGTAGTTATATTTCTATTGCAATTTACGAGTATTGATCGAGAGCGTGAATTTAAGAGCAAGCGAAAACAAGTGAGCGGATTGAATTAATTATACACGGTTGTGTGGCTCCTATGCTTGGCTTAATATTATTATCTCGGTTGAAGAGGCTTTACTGAAAGGTAACGACTTAGATTGATCGTTTTTTATCCTACCATGTCAAAGGTGAACTTATTAGACATAATATGGGTTTATGACTGCACGTAATTCATCAAAAATTAATGCACAAAAATCAACAAAAATTTTAAATTTTATCGTGAATCAAAATTATAAAGAGTAGTTAACGTTTTGGAAATTAAAAGTAAGAAACAAAAATGATCGAGACTAAGTAAGACAGCACAGTGGTAACGAAGAAAAATTATGAATACTCGAAATTCTAGATAAGTCAAATACGTAAACACATTTGTAATTAATAGTGAAAATTCAGCGCATGTTAACATCTTTTCTGAGTGACTTCAAGTCTGTTGAATTTAAAAATGTTTTCCTGCGTAGTTGAATTGACGCCTCTTCACTCTTCTATAATTACACCATAGCTATTCTGTCATGTTTCTTAATGACCAATATTATTTCATGTATTCATTCCGTCCGCAACAAGCGTTGAGAGTGGTACCCTGTATTAACGACTTCCTTAAAAATCTAATTGTATGTACACAAAAATCGATCATAGTGCGATATTTATTAGTGTCGTGATTACTGTACTAAGATTGTAGTCCATTCTAGTGGATCAAGTGAGAAACAATAAATCAGCAATTGCCGTCTCGTTCTCACATAGCATCGTCGGACTGTGGCAGTGCGGGAACCTCACTTCCTCACCGGTAGGCGTAAGGACAGCGCTATATTTTTTAACTCTCTCACACTTGTGTAACTACAATATACCTGCACACTACGATGTCTTTACAACGCACACCACCGAATGTGTTTTCATCGGACGGTGATATTCCTGCATCGGTAAAGAAGATTAGCGGCGAAAGTTTTATAACTACCCGTAAACGTAAACAAATGGAAAACGATAAAATTGATACAAATATGATTAAATTTGAAGAAAAATTTGATAGTCAAATGCAAATATGGAATAAAACCATTAGCGATTGCATCGCAAATAGCATTGCCACCGCGGTAAATACGGCCCTAAAGGGCGAGCTATCAAAGATTACCTCTGCGTTATCAGAACTTAATGATAATGTGTTGAAACTTAACACGGATGCTATCAACCTTAATAAATCAGTGAACGAAGTTAACACCCGACTGTGCGAAATAGAGAAGTCACTTAGCTTCTCGAATGAACGACAGGACTTATTTGACAGTCGACTGAAAACTGTAGAACAGAACATATCACAATATAATGGCTTTAAAAGTCAAATACAACTACTTGAGAACAAAATACATACTATGGAACAGCAAGCAAGACAGTGCAATGTCGAAATAGTTAATATCCCCGACAGGCGAGGTGAGAATCTAATCAGCATAATTGAGTGTTTGGGTGATGCTATTAAGCATCCTTTACAATCATCCGACATAATAGCCGTTCATCGTGTACCTCATGCTGACAAAAATGATCGACGTCCGAAGAATATTATAGTAAAGTTCGCAAACAGGACACTGCGCGACAATGTGATTGCCGCCTGCCGTGCTACGAAAGGGTTGAATTCGACATCATTGTCCGTACCTGGCCGGCCTGCCACCGTTTACGTTAACGAGCATTTAACGTTAAATAACAAATTGTTGTTTCGTCAGTGCCGGGAGGCTGCTAAGAAAAACGAGTATAAATATGTTTGGGTTAAACATGGCACCGTTCTGGCTCGCAAGACGGATACTTCACCCGCTATCGCAATCAGATCCCTCCAGGACATCGCACGAATCAAATGAACAACACCCGGATGACAATAGGCAGCATTGCAACGTCATAAACAGGTTTAAAAATAAATTATTTACGCCTACATATGTAAATATAACCAATTTTTATCATTATATTATGTGTCACAAGAAAATATATATTCTCAAATGGTTAAGTCAACGTTCCACATATTATATTATTATAAGTAATCACACTTTTATAAGTAAATATTGTTATTTCAATAGACTAAATACATATGGTATAATTTCTTTGTACCTTCGTCTCTCAGACTTAAAGTGCTCTCTTTTAAATTTAATTAATATCCTATTAGTATTATTTGGAAGACATACACTTTGGTTAAATTTTTACATATTTGATCTGCTTAATTACTCTTCCAAAACTCTAATTACTGTTATTATTTCCAATCATAATACTCATGGCATAACATTAATATCTGTTCAGGTACGCATAATTGCTTTTTATCTGTTTTTGTCACCGATATTTAATTTAATCAATAAACAAAGTTCATGTTTTTACAATTCAACGTGTGCATTTATACTGAATATCCTACTCTGTAACTACTGTGGCTCTAATGATTTGTATGCAATACCATATAGTTTTCGATACAAAATTCAATAACATAAATAACAATGTATTATCAGTCTACTATCAAAATTGCCGCGGTTTGAGAACTAAATTAAATACTATTTACATGAACATATTATCGCATAATTAAGATGTTATAATATTAACCGAGACTTGGTTACATGATTGCATTGTAAACAGTGAATTTGTGGATTCCCGCTACAGTGTGTTCCGTTGCGACCGAGATCGCGCTGTAACAAAGCGTCACGATGGTGGCGGGGTGTTGGTGGCTGTATTACGCTCGCTGCGAGCAGTGCGCTGCGTGCCCGCACTACCCGCTGCCCCCCTCGATATCCCACCCATCATAGATCATATTCTACTAGAATTTCACATCGGTAAGTCTTATTATTTATTAAGCGCGAATTACATACCACCCGGTCTAGATTCTGATATATATTTTAATTATTTTAATAAACTAGAAGAGATAATACAGTTAAATGGATATGATAACTATTATTTAATTGGCGATTTCAATTTGCCTTGTCTTGACTGGTATCTAGATGGAACTCAAGCAAAACTTCTAGGTTTAAGCAATACTACGCCACCATATTCTCACTTAGTAAATTTCATGTCCGTCATGGACTGTATACAAGTGAATATTTTAAAAAATAATATGAATAGGTTACTCGATTTATGTCTAACTAATGTACACAATAGTAAAACATTCTCTGCGCCTATCACTCTAGTTCCACCTGACGTACATCATCCTCCTTATTACCTCTTAATACCAATTGATAATAACCTATCCAAACCTATGCCAACGAATCCACGTTTAAGATATTGTTACAAGAATTCTAATTATAAACAAATCAGTAACGATATGTTAGAAATTAATTGGTGTGAACTATTTCAAAATAAAACTGCCGAAGAAAGTGTTAACGTTTTCTATGAAAATATATTTGATCTCATACGTAAACGCGTTCCCTCTAAACGGGATTCCAATTCAAAATTTCCAGTATGGTTTAGCCCTGCATTGATACATATATTTAAGAATAAAAACAAAGCTTGGATTAAGTGGAAAATATATAAAAATAAATCCGATTATTCTACATTTTCAATGTATCGGGATAGGTTTAGGAAAGAATCATTGATTTGTTACAACAAATACATGAAATCAGTAGAAGACAGTATTCCAAAAAATATTAAATACTTTTGGATTTACATAAAAAATCGTCAAAATCAATCAGATATCCCAAATAGTGTTCACTATGACGGAACTAAGGTGGATAGTCCTGAAGGCATTTGTAACCTGTTTTCTTCCTTCTTTCATTCAGTTCTCCAGCCTACTGATGTATCTGACTCCTTCTGTATTGACCATATAGATGATATAGACAATGGTATGCTTAATGACACTATTATTAATGAGATACACCTATCAGAAGCAGATGTCTTAAAAGAACTAAAGGCACTAGATATTACTAAAAGCGCAGGCCTTGATAACATTCCCCCTATTTTCATTAAAAATACTGCCATAACCATATGTAAACCGTTGGTCATATTATATAATAAATGTCTAACAGAGGGTATATTTCCAGCTGTGTGGAAATCAGCCAGGATAACACCAATACATAAAGGAGGCATAAAAAGAGATGTAGTCAACTATCGTCCAATTTCAATCCTTCCCACTTTATCTAAACTTATGGAGAGACTGGTGCATAATAATATCTATCCACTATTGCATAGGACTATCCTTCCGCAGCAACATGGGTTTGTTCGTAAACGGTCCACTATCACTAATCTTATTGTTTATACTTCTGAATTGTTTGACAATATAGACACTAATACGCAAACCGATAGTGTCTATACAGATTTTCGGAAAGCGTTTGACCGAGTGGATCATATAATACTGCTAGAAAAACTTGCTTTCAACGGGATTCGCGGAAATCTTTGGAGGTGGTTTAAGTCGTATATAACAAACAGAACACAAAAAGTGGTCATCAATGGATATGAATCAAGTACGGTTGTTATAACGTCTGGTGTGCCACAAGGATCTATCCTTGGCCCCCTCTTATTCATTCTGTTTATTAATGATATAAATAATTGCTTTCAGCATTATAATTTCTTATTATATGCAGATGACCTAAAAATTTATCGAACTATACATAATTCTAATGATCACCGCGAGTTCCAGGAGGACCTGAATAGATTTAACAATTACTGTAGCATTAACAAACTACAACTAAGTCTCGATAAATGTAAAGTTATTACATTTACAAGAAAACGAGCGTGGAATCCACATAATTATTCCATAGGCGGCCACAATCTCACCAGAGTACAAACTATTCGCGATCTTGGAGTCACATTGGATACTAAGTTAACACTTGATGCACATGTTGATAACATATGTAGTAGGGCTTATAAAATGTATGGTTTTGTACTCCGAGCCAGTAATGACTTCGTACGTCCTAATACATATTTACATATTTATAAGACCTTAATCCGTTCACAGTTAGAATATGCTGCTTGTATTTGGGATCCTTTGTATATAAAATACTCAGATAGTTTAGAAAGAGTGCAAAAGAAATTTCTGCGTTGTATGCACTATAAATGCTGTCAAAACTATCAATCATACTACCAGCTATTGCAAAGATATAAACTCTTAGACTTGAAGTCTAGGAGAATTCAAATGCAAACCATGTTTTTGTATGACATTTGCCATAACAGGTACGACTGCTCTGATATTGTCAATAATATTAACTATAGAGTGCCTACTAAGTCATACATGCCTGCCTGTCGTTCGAAACACCTATTTGCCACACGAAAATCACGCACAAACGCAGGCATCCGTGCACCTATACGTCGTATACTAAACTCTTATAACCGTAATTTCAGTCATATTGTAATTTTTGTAAATAGTGTAAGCGTTTACAGAAACTTAGTAATTAAGGAACTGCATGACACTGTACACTACACACAACAGTGAAAAATGTACATATGAATAAAACTCTCAACCTGTAAAAATAATTTGTTCATAATGCTCGTGGTAAACGGTGTGGATGTCACAATTGGCAATAATATATAAGTTAACACTATTATAACCATTTGTTATTGTGATGTTGTTTGTTTACCCAATAAATTGAAAAAAAAAATATAACAGTAAGTACAAAACGGCAATTTGTTTTATGTAAATAAACAAAGAGCAGTGTATTAAACCCGTATTAATCCTTTTAGATAACTACAAGCAACTACTATAATTTACGTTCACACATTATGTCACTAATCTAGCACTGTAACTGAATGTGACTGTCTGAGTTACATACAAAACGTCTATTTTAGGATGGCATATCTTCCTTCATCATATTTTATGACATTCAATCTAATCTGTGACAGTGTAACGGCTTATTATGCGTGATATGGACGAGGATCGGAACGCTTGTGTCATTGCATGAGTGAATCCTAATTTTCGTTCGCTTCAAAATAAAATAAATCTACAAAGAATATTTTCACTTAATAAACATAAAATTTTATATATAATCCAGACCATTACCGCTGTAGTTAATGTAATAAGGCTGTTTATTTTTAACCCTACGTATGAGGTGATGAAATTGTTTAACGTCAATATTTTGATTCTCATTTGATTATGATGAAACATATATAGGTATTATTTTTTTTTTAAACGTAACCTCCCCACGAGGATTTTCTCATGTATCGTGGGGGCAGTTTACATACATAAATTTCTCAAGGACAAACATTCAGACCCTAAATAATTATTTGTAGTCGATACAAATACTTGTACCGTGCGGGACTCGAACCCACGGCCCCTGGCGCTACAACTCTTTTTTTTTCCTCTTTTTTATAGAAGAGGGGGCAAATGAGCATGCAGCTCACATGATGGTAAGTGACTACCGCCACCCATGAACAACCGCAACATCAGGGTAATTGCAGACGCGTTTCTGGGCTTTTAGAAAGGTGTAAACTCTTTTCTTGAAGGTCCCTAAGTCGTATCGGTCCGGAAAATTCACCGGTGGTAAACAATTCCACAGAGAAATTGTACGAGTAAGAAAACCCCTAGTAAAACGCAGAGACGTGGACCGCCAAGCATCCAGATGGTGAGGATGGTATCGTGAATTTTGACGCGATGTGCGTTCGCGAAATTTAATGGAATTAACCCGAACTATTCCTCAGAGCACTCCCCGTGGTAAATTCGATAGAAAATGCAAAGGGATGCAACATCCCTACGCAGTGCCAGTGTATCGAGCCGATCAGAAAGAACTCGGTCGTCGATGATTCGAACCGCTCCGCGCTAGATGCGGTCAAGTGGAAGGAGCTGGCACTGGGGTGCCCCGGCCCAGAGATGAGAACAGTATTCCATGTGAGGTCGAACTTGCTCTTTGTAAAGTTGCAAGCGATGTACCGGCATGAAATACTGTCTCGCTCTGCTGAGCAC